TGCACAAAGACTTATATTCGATGGTAAGATTTAATTAACATTTTGAAGAAAAAAAATATGATTCTAGGGTTTGTTTCACATTTGTTTTCACACAAGTACAAACATCCAACAACCGTCAAAAATGATTGGAAAGTGATTCCGATGTGGTATAAAATATGTATGATAATAATTGGAGACTATAGGTCTATACTTATAATTTCAAAAAGCAGATCGCGATTAGGTATTATTTAGTAAACACTTTTATTACAAAATGAACATTTTTAAATTAATATCGTAAAAATATTCTTTAGAGTTTATTTAGACACAATAATAAACACTCATAAGCTCTTATTACATTATATATAATTTTTTATTATAATAACTGAAAAAAGTGTAGATATCAAAAAACAATTTGATATACCCAATGCACGTAGAGGCATTTAATTAATAAAAAAAAACTACTAAAATATTAATCTCCATAATATTGGAATCACTTCTAGTAAAGTTGTTATTAAAGATCAATGTAATATCAAAATATTCATGGATCATGTATAAATTATTTTCTCTGTGTTATACGCATAACTGACACAGATAACAAATGCTTGGTGCCACGTCCTCTAAAACTCGATTATTTTCTAGAAAATAGTGCTTTCATCTAAAGTTAATTATATCTACGGGGGACGAGGTGACCGAGTGGTCTGACGCGTCCGCTGCGACGTAGCCGGTCGCGGTTCGATCCGCGGCCACCGGGCGGCATTTTTCTCCGAACAAGTCGCGGTGACCGGAGAACAAGTGCTGCCATCCCCCACCCCCGGGGCACGGCAGAAACCTACGGGTGCCCCATTCGAAATTTTGCCAAAACAAACACACACGTATTCCCCCCTACCATCCCAAAATATACAATATAAACCATCAATACAAAAACCTACAATACCTACTAAATACTAATAGCTAATGGCCACAGTTGCCGGGCTCAAGATCAATAAAAAAAAAAAAAAAAATTATATCTACAAATAATAAATTATTCTTACTAATTTTAAATGTAGATTTCAGTGCACCCAGCGAGTGATATGGACAGCGTTTACAAATATATACCAAAAGAATACTTTGCCAGCGACATGGGTGGAAAAGCTCCTTCATTTGAAGCCAAAAAAGGTATACAAATAGGACCTATATACTATTACCTATTATATCCTCACTGTCATAGCTTAATAAATTGCATCAAAATCAAGCGAAACAAGTTAAGCACATTGTTCTGGAAAGGAATGAATTGAGTGCGTGAGTCTTTTCTGTTGCGTTTGGTGAAAGGGTTTACCAAAAGTGTGTGTATTGATGTAAGGTGTCCAAAACTACGAAAGTCGGCAATGGGAGAGTCTTGCTGCTACGGCATTGCAGGATAGACAACTGGCCGATTTCATGCTCCACACTCGTATTTATAGTCATAGTCCCGATCACTGAGTCGCTGTGATTGGTTATTGCGTTCGAACTTCCTGATGCCGCCCGGCATCGTCTGGCGAGCGGCCGTTAGTCTATGCATATACGTATCTGTCGTCGCAGGTCCGTGTTTAGTCGTGGTTCTAGGGACTCAGCGGCGTCGTGGCCGGACGGCGGAGTTAAGAGGATGCCACACCCGCATGTGTTGTCTCGGTCTTACAAACGAGGGAAAATACCAAATTTAAGCTCAGTAGTTCACGTTTTACGCTGTTAGTTTAAAAATTAGAGTGAATCCACCTATTATGAATCTTGATGGTGAGAACATTATCTGTGTTTGTTGGAAGTTCTTTTACGATAATTTAGTTTTTAAGTGAGGTGTGTTTGTATAATAAATGTAAATTAAAAATGCTCATAACTCACTTAAAAGGTGAATTATTGAAAAAAAACTTCCAACAAAACACAGATAAAGTTCTTATCATCAAGTTTCATAGTAGATCGATTCACTGTAATTTTTAAGCTAACGGCATGAAACGTGAACTGCTGAGCTTAAATTTGGTACGTTACGCGTTTGTAAGACGTAGACAACATATTATGCGGGCGTGGCGTCCTCTTAACGCTGATTGCTCGCGGCCTGATAGTGATGCTGCCGGACACTTGTTGGCAACGGTTGTTATTGGCGGTGGCGGTGTTGATTCCGTTTAGTCACGCCTGCTGCCTGTAGCCATCCAATCGCCGTTTGTCTGATTGGCTCCGTCCGTTAATATCGGTATTGGTTGCTCCGCCCCTTGTGGATATCGCCGAGATTATTCGTCGACGGTACTGCGCGCCCCCAATCGTATCGATTCATCTCTTGGTGTAGAGCCTTTCCAATGAATGATTACGTCATATTTTACTTTGTATAATATGTAGCCCATAATCCGTGTCGTCATTGCTCACCCGGAGCCTTCGTGGTCATTACTGGTGTAATGAGTGCATTATGACGTCACAATAAGTATTCTTCATTGCAGAATATACATGGGCCATCAAGAATTATGGCTCGATTGAGCAAGTTTGTAGCTATCATGCACCTTATTGCGACCGGTGCCCCTTATTATGACCAGTCTGGCAAGTGCTCTACACTAATACAGAGATTCGGCTGGTGCAGTCGGCGGGAGGTTGGCGTCTCACATGGAAGCCTCATGGCGTCTAACGCGTGCACGCCTTGAGGAGTTTAATTCGTGACGATGGACCAGTCGGACTGCCGACCGACTGCATTCCGAATCTCATGCAACGTATTTTTCCCAACAGCCCCATAATAATAACATACATACCTTTTGATTGCCTTATTACATTAAGAAACATTGTGATAACACCACCAGAAAATACTTGGCGTGGCGAAAACACACATTTTAAAAAGTTTACTCTTTGAAATTCACTTTTAGACTTAAAATGTTTAACATGGACAATGTAGGTAGATGAATTATGCAATAATGAATTAATTGCAAAAATATTATGTCAAGATCGAGTTAACCTAATAAAGTAAACATATAAATATATTCAGGGCCGTGAATTTAATGTATTTTTTGCTACACTGTAAAATAAAATGGATTTGACCAAAATATGTTTTGACTTATTTATAGTTCAAATACCAAATCTTATTTTGCATATTTTTACATGTTTCATGGGTTATTGCATATAAATACATATTGTCTTAATGCATTTTTTATATAAATGCTTTTTTTCGTCATGTTTTTCATTTTTTCGGCCAGTCTGTTATAAATTGACATTAAAATATAAAATGTATTTGCATTAACTATGACTTGTATAATTTCATGGAAACTATTCTGTATAAAAATGGTTGTACACAAAAGTGGTCTTAATCAAGTTTGAAAATCTAAAGAAATCATTGATTGTATACATGCAATAACTATACTTTAAATGTAAAATAGATAATTTTAGGTAGAAACATAATCTATTATAAACATATTCAAGCCCAATAAGTCATATATTCATATCAATATGTAACAATACTAATATTTAAATCAAATGTGCTTATATTATAATTGTTTTACATCCACAACAAACTATTTGTAAAACTGTTCACGTCTATTTCCCTGCGTTGTCGCAGTGTATGGGCATAAATTTTAAATAGTACAACTAATCAAATTTGTTTTTAAATATTTTATAGAAGAATCACAAAGACGTTTTGAGTCGTACGTGGTTTTTTTTGAAAACGACGAGAAATTCAACCGTGTTGACGAGAACAAGCGGATCGATAAGAATAATCGATTTAATTCTACAAACTATGGGCTTGAAGGATCATTTAAAAAACTAGAACTGGATTAAACACAATTTTTTTTTATACATACTTATTTATTTTATCCGATTTATCGTGTATAATATTATTTACTTGTATGGTTGTATAATATTATAAACATAGACCAAATCAATGGCCAATAATTATGTACATTTCAGTTTAAATAAATACTGCACCCTCAAATAACAGTCATGGTTGAATTATAGGTATACCTATTTTATATTTATATTAAAATCTTTCAAGTGATTATATATTATTCTAATGACTTATATAATAAGATCACTGATGATCTATTTAACCAATCAATAGAAACATAATATACAGAAGTCTGTGTAGGTAATCAACGTGACGTAGGTCACTGCAAACTGGGAAAAAATTGTCTGATTTCTATCACGGTTTCAGAGATGACTTGCTCATTTCAGATTGGCAAAATTGAAGAGCGACTCGATGGAAACAATATTGTATTAAGATAGGTATCAGCTGTAATTGTGCTGTATACAATAGCGACAAAAGGATATAATTTCCCACTTAGTTTATACTATTAGACATAAAACAAATTTTTGTGCGCAATGTCTACCATATATTTTATAAAACACATAGAAAGCACAGGCCGATTATTTTAATAGCAAACACCATCTTATTAACCAAAAAAGAAATGTTTACATGTTCGGTGCTTACCAATACTTAATATCGTATTTAATGATTTAACACCACGGTAACAAACACCTACTGTTAAATACTTAAATACCCATAAAATGTGTGTCATTTTAGAAGCATTGTTAGTAATACATAGTACCTAGCTATTTAGTATGTTATTCAACTTAAAAAAATGAATGTTTATCTTGAGTGACAAGTCATTACTTATGCAGTCTTATTTATTACTTATACTATCTTAAATGGTTTCACTAAATTATTGTTTTACCAAATTTATTATAAATAGTAAGGTAAACTATCTTATACCTACTTGGTAGTTTAATACGAATCACTAAAATTAACTTATTTTGCCCATCTTGTTTAAGTAATGATTCATCTTAAAGATGATATAATTTTTTTTTTTGAGTGAACCTATTTCTTAATATTTCATTAGGTTTACCAAAAAAAAAGGCGGAGGTAATCATCGTGTAAAATTAATAATGCTTATAATAACAGAAAATATATATAAGTCAAAAGTTTAAAACAAATAAGTAATTTGTAATAATAGAAATTATATCCGTTACAAGAAATATTGAAAAACATTATATAGAAGTACATTTGTCCTTTGTATAAACCACCTGGTCGAGATACAATTGATGATTTGTATACTGTTATGGCTAGTAATTTCCGTGAGGATTGAGGAACTTTCAAAAGTCTCTTTTGTTTCTATCACAACAGATGTCTGGATAGAAACAATGCAAATGAGAAGTTTCCTCGGCATAACTACACATTTAATCCAAGATGGAAAATTAAAAACACGTAATATACTTTATTATTTATATAATTTTAAACTTAAAACTTATTTTATTATTTTATTAATAATTATAGAAAATATTGGTACTGTTGAACTGTTCGAAAGCCATACAGCAATTTATATTGGGCATACTTTAATTGAAACGTTACAAAAGTGGGGAATAGAAGCTGAAGAAGTCGTAGCCGTAGTTACAGACAGTGGAGAGAATATGAAAAAAGCTATAGTTGCGGAATTTGGTGCTAAAAAACATATACCATGTGTTGCCCACACAATTAATCTTGCAGTTGAAAAGGCCATTGACAAAACACAAGAGATTGGCAACACAGGTGTTAAAAGTGGTGGAGTACCAGTATTACTATTTAAAGTTCGGGAGATAGTAAAATATTTAAAAAAAAGCACTAAGTCCTGTGATTTGCTCAGAAACAGTTAAAGAGTGGAAGGTAACTATTGGATGACTATATCAGGTGACTCACAACAACTCATAGAGTAATACAACAACAATTTACTCCCAAAGCCTCGGAGGTAGATAACGCTTCTGTTAAAGTCTGGATTTTGAAATTGATGACCGTGACCGTGTCTGATATTCGTGCAATATCGTCAAACTGGTCACACTGGATTTTTGTTTTCTTATCAATAGGAGCATCCATCAGGGAGTACAACATTCGAAATCGTAATTATTTTAACGGACAACGGCCGTTACTCATTACGTCTCCCATCTACAAGTCGCATTAATTTCGCAATACTTTTTTGAATCCACTTTCCACAGGTTGAACTTTTCGACTGTCATCCAAAAATAAATCGATTTTGACAGTCTATTTTAGACATTGGACTATGCAAATAGTCATACTCACAGCAGTTGATCTTGATATTTTTCTAGTCCGATTAAACGATTGAAAAAACCCATTTTTATTGAATTTTTTTTTGTTTATCCTTAAATTACAATTTACATACCATTAATAGTTATTGTAGTTGACTACCAGAGAAATATTACTCGCCCTTCCGTTCCTATCCGGATATTTTTATTTTTGTGCCCACACACACATCTTACCAACATTTTAATAGCATTACCAGCCTTGGTTCCAACTATCCAAAGGTAAGCAAAAAAATATGATTTCATTATGATATACATTACTTTAAACTCTACGACCAATTAATAATTCTAATATATGGCACAGTCTTCTTACATTTTGTAATTTTTAGTTTTGTTAGTTTGCTCCTTGAGAACCAAGTACTTGGATAACGATTTTTGTTTTTCCACGGCAGAAGACAATAGTTCACCATCTACATATTATATATAAAAAATCTTCATCTCAATTTTAGAATGTCTCAATTTACTTATGTAAACGATCTTAAAAGTGCCGTTAGAATGGATGAGCCAATCACCAGCGGCCCTGCTCCACGTTGGATGAAAAAAAGTGTAGAGTCAACCTCAAGGTACGTGTATTTTTATTTATTGCATGTGTGTACACTTCAAGAAATGTATTCAATATATTTCTGTTTCTACCTTGTTTACTCTGATAGTTCTGTGAATACGTCAAGAAAAACTATTGATTTAATGCCTATTAAGAAGACACCATCAAAAACACCTAATAAATCAAAATCACCAGGTTAGTAAGGTTATTAAATTTATATTTGCATCTATGTCACTGGTTATCAAAATTAATTTTATGCACAAACTAGGTATTATCAAAAACTACAATTTGATTTATAATATTAATTGTATCGATTTCTATTATATTTATGTGTCTATTATAAATAGTTTAAAAAGTTGTTAAAATTATCCATTAAAAATGAGTAAAAACCATTTGAATAGATTTTTCAAAAGAAATAAATTAAAACCTCGAAAATTAAATGTCAACTCTCCAGAATTATCAATTATAAATAGTTTTAAAAATATATCTTCTGTCAAACAAGGTAAGGAATAATATATCTCATTTTTTATATTTAATTAAAGCAGGTAGGTAATACGGTATATATAATTTAAATGTAATAGAATTACAAATATACCTAAGGCAATTCCTGCTTGTACATAGAATAAATAAAAGTTGACATTTTTTTTAACAAAATTTATTACTTAGATATACTTGCATTTTGTATGGAAAACAAATAAATAGTCACATTTATTGATATTAATTTTTAAATATTTTTAATTTAATAATCTATAACCAATAACAACCCGTAAAACTATTTATTTGAATAGCGTCAAGATCAGCATCAAACACACCAGCTAAACCTAAAACACCCGGCGGTGACAGATTCATTCCTTCTAGAATGTCTACAAACTTTGACATAAGTCATTTTAAAGTAAATCACAAATATTTAAATGTATTCAAGATTTTAATCACAACAAATTCCTCAATTTTTTTTCATAGATGAACCAAGAAAATGAAAACCTTGACATAAGTCCAACTCAAGCAGACTACAGAAAAGCTATGTCTGAGAATCTCCATGGATGTGACATTAATAATGTTCGTGTTCTTTCCTATCAGAACAAAGCACCGGCTCCTCCAGATGTATAATAATTAATAACCTGTTATAAGTTTTTTCCTTATTATGGTTAATGATTTTAGGGTTATCAAAACGCCTTAAAAGTAGTTTACAGCCAATCCAAGACTCCCATGAATGTACGTGGAGCTACTCGTTATATACCACATGCACCAGACCGTATTTTGGATGCTCCTGAAATTGTTGATGACTATTGTACAGTATTCCATTAACTCTATCCATGTGACTATTAATGACGGTTTTTATTTTTAACAGACCTAAATTTAATTGACTGGAGCTTTTCCAACATATTGGCTGTTGCCTTGGGCACAAGTGTATATCTTTGGAATGCCGACACTGGGGCCATTGACCAACTTTTAGATTTAGAAGGTGCAGATTACGTCACTTCTCTGAGCTGGGTACCTAATGGAAACCTATTAGGCGTTGGAACTGCTTTAGGACCTGTACAAGTATGTAGAATGCTTGCTGTTGAACATAGTAAATAATTAAACTAGTATTATTATTTATCGATTTAGTTATGGGACGCATCACAGACAAAGCGGCTGCGTGTAATGAACAGTCACAGTTCAAGAGTGGGTGCTATGTCATGGAATAGTCATATACTAACTACAGGTTGCAGAACTGGACAACTTGTTCACAACGATGTCAGACAGAGAGAACACATTGTTGGTACAATTCAATCCCACACTCAAGAAGTATGCACCAATCCTTATTAAATGTATATTTCGATCTTAATAGCATGTGATATTTAATCTTACTTGTTTGGTCTGATGTAGGTTTGTGGTCTTAAATGGTCAACTGACGGTCGTTATCTAGCCAGTGGAGGCAATGATAATCTATTAAATGTGTACAGTGGCTTACCAGGCCAAGCTACTTACCAATCTGAACCAATATACAGTTTCAGGTAATATTGGTTTATCTAGAAATCGTAATTTGTAGCAGTGTATAATTTTCCAAATGTTTACTCCAGCCAACATCAAGCTGCCGTTAAAGCATTGGACTGGTGTCCATGGCAAACCAATGTACTAGCCAGTGGAGGTGGCACAGCTGACCGAACCATCAGGTTTTGGAATTGTAACAACGGTCAATGTATCAATTCAGTCAATGCAAACTCCCAAGTGTGTGCTATTCTGTGGTCAAAAACGTATAGAGAATTGGTATCAGCTCACGGTTTTGCAAACAACCAGCTTACAATTTGGAAATATCCTTCACTGACAAAGGCGAGTTAATTGATAAGAAAACATGTATACATTAAGTACAATTGAATATATTTTAATTTTTTAAATTTTATCCTTAAGGTTGCTGAACTCACTGGACACACAAATCGTATTCTGAATTTGGCCATGTCACCAGATGGATCAACAGTACTGTCAGCTGGTGCAGATGAGACCTTGCGAATGTGGAAGTGCTTTTTGCCAGATCCAAACAAGAAGAAAGAACATGAGAAGCGCTCTTCTAGACCCACTATGCTGGGACCAGGCCTAAGATAAATATTTTTGTATTTGTTATTTTATGTTCTTTGTCAATTAAACTTATATACAATATTTGTGTAAACTTTTTACTTGCTTAGTTTTAGTTTTTAATTTATACAAGACTCAGTCATACTTTTACTTAATGTACATACTTAAACAGATTTTTTTTATAATTAATATCTCCATTGTGTATTATTTTCTATGTCAATATATTCTCTTGAACAAGTAATTTCATGTTATGTTAAGGCCAAATGTATTCAGAATAAGTGCTTAAATTGACTACAATAATTAATATACTAATACATTTTATATGATGACTTTAATTACTTATATTATAATAATAAACAAGTCTTTGGCTACTTTATGTTTACGTGTGAAATAATATATAATAACAGCATAGTTATATTAAGCTTATTGACTTATTAGTTAACATAAAGGAATAACAAATTAAAAAGAAATATAAGTTGAGTTACAAACAAAAAAACATTCAATAATAATAAATAAAAAGTTTAATTCGGTTGTTTGTAATGAGCCGTAAACACGTAATTTAAACTATTTATCACTTGACTATTATTCAAATCTGAACAATATTACAACCAGATATTTTAGACTAACGCCCTACGGCTATACATCCAACACAACCACATTTATTTCACGCCTCAGCAAGATAAATTTTATAAAAAGGATTCCCAACACAAACAAATGTTAAAACTACGTGCACTTAGAGATGAGATATGGAAACCTGACTAGTAATTGTTTTAATAAAAACTGTACTCAGACAATTTTTACCTTTAAAGATGATTTGAGTTTATAAAAATGACTAGACATATTAAATGAGTGTATTGATTTAGCAAAATGTCATTTGAAAAGGTATAGAGGTAATAATGCAATATCAAATTTTCGATCGAAATGACTCATCTCCAAGTTAACAAACCAAACTACAGTGTGAGTTGTATACACTAAGATATAAAAAATGGTGAAAAAACAATAAATAAAAAAAAAAACAGTGATAAGATCATTAAATTACTAGTAAGAATTAAACAAAAGTAGCCATCAGTCAGATTGCATTGGAATCATATCAAAGACTGCAGGTTTTAGGTAAGAGACAGTCAATGTGTTGTTTATTCATTCAATCTATGTTGAAGAACTATGAATTAGGACAATCTGACTTATGACTAAATAGTAAATATTATGTTACAATAAAAAATAATCGTTATTACATAGATTCAAGTAATATTAAAGCCTACAATAGTAATTAACAGTAAACTCAACAAAAGTTACATCAATAATACACAATAAAAAAATAATAGTACAATAATTTTAACCTACATTTAATTTGACTAAAAAAAAACAATTAATAGTTTATTTTTTTTATAGAAATTTTTATCATTTTAAAATTACCCTGCTGTAATTTACGTATATATAAATATAGGGGCTCAATAAGATGAGTCCTTATAATATATTAAGCTCCTCGTTTAAGGCACTGTTAACAGTAATTTTATACTTAGGAAACATACTTTATAAATTAAACTTATTACTAAGAATAATAAAAAATCAAATGGTAGTAAAAAATAGAACAAAAAAAAAGATAAAGATCCACACTTTAAAAAACTAACAGTGTTTAAGTCCTTAAAGCTACAAATGTGGGTAAAATAAGCTGCACAATATTGCACAGTATTTTTAAAAATAATTATGGGAGGAAAAATATTAAATAACAGTAAAAACACCAGTTACATTGAATTATAATTCGATGAACGATCAATTTGTGTTTGAAGGCTGTGAATCATTGACATTAGTTTGGCATTTTCGATGAAAAGTTCTTTAACAATCATATCAGCGCTCATAAGTTGTTTATTCTAAAAAAAAAAACAACATTAATAGGTATTGAATTTGTTAATGAATATGACTATTATTTTGATAAACGATATACAAAATATGAGACAACTAACTTGTTCATTTCTCATTTTAATTTGTTCTTCGAGTTTATCTTGCGATGACCGCAATAATTTGTGTACCATATCAATTTTTGACTGATGCTCATTCCATATGGCTAAATTCAAAACAATATAAAAGATCAATTAAATTGTTGTTTACTCTATAAGACATTATAAATTATACAGCAAATAAACTGTTAGGCATTACTTAGGGTTAATCACAAATAATAATTCAAGCACCATAATCTTGTACAATAAAAATTATAATCATAAGATCCATAGTCAAATTCAATTCACTATTAAACGTTTTTCTCTCTAAGACATTATTTTCTGGATAAGTTTTATATGGTAAGGTTTTATATTTTTCAATTTTATATGGTAAAGTTAAAAAGAAATTATTAAAAAAATTGTTTGAGACATAAATATATTTTAACCGTCTAAAGTAACCAGTAATAATCACCTATCAAGAAATTGCCTAAGAATTAAAAAATTTAGAAGTATGTATGTTTACTGTTTAAAAACTACCCGCTACAGCATTAGCATAAAATATTTTTTTCACTAACCGTTAGTCAACTTTTGGTGTCGGGCTTGTTCATCATGGAGTCTTTGTTCCAATTCTTTACACCTCCTGGCATCTATAGAGACCTGGTTAGCTTGATTAATTTCTTTTTGCATGAAGAACTCTTTGTGGGTATTCTGAAACACAATATTGGTGTTTTTTTTTTGAAAATGAAACTATAAAAAGTATAAACTTGATACCATTCTCATCTACCAATAGTTTTACTAAACACGAGTCATAACTAATGGTATATAGATATAACTTAATTGTATAAATCTATGCTAATATTTTTAAAATAATGGCACCAAAGCTTTATATTAATACTTTAAAATGAATATTATTTCATATTTAATTCGCATGCATAATTTTTCGGTAACTCAAACTATCAAATTTTTGGCAGCTATTTTAGACATAATTAACAACTTCATCAATTGAACACGAATTTGATTTGAAAAATATTGCAGTTGACAATGGAATAACAGGATAGTTAATATAATGTGTAATACTTAAATAACGTTCAAATTCAATACAGAATAAAAACCAAAGTAACTTAGTATTAAATATCATCTGTAACCACTTACTGAAAGTACATTAAGATATTCTTGTAATTGCAAAATTTCATTTTTAAGTGTACTCCTTCGTTGCAATAGACTTCGGCATTCCATTCCTAATTTTTCACGATTTTTTTTTAAGTCAAACTGCTTGTTTTTAAATTCACTATTTGTCTAAATAGTAAAATAAAAAAAAATGTAATAATCATCAATTAGAAAAAATATTTCATGTTTTAAAAAAATATACTTTTAAATTTTCAAGACATTTCTCACATTCTTCTTTGAATTGACAGTTAGCTACTTCACGGTCAACTTTTTTAACTGGAATAACAATTTGAGATTTCAATTTTTCATTTTCGATTTTAAGACTTTTCATTTCTTTTTCGATTTTTACACAGTAGCTGGAAAATTCTTGTTGAATGCAATTGATCTGTGGAAATAATAAAAAATCATTGAAGTAATATTTTGAAAAAAAATGTTTGAAAAAATAATTACCTGTTCTTCAAGTTCAGCATTTTCATCAATAGTAGGTAATTTATTATTAGTTGTTTCTTCTAACATATCACTGTATTCTTTAATCTTGACTTCTAGATTATTCAATTTTTCTTCACTAACTTTTTTCTCCTATAAAGGTAAACATATAATTCTAATTTTAGTAATTTGATAATATTATACCCATAACCTATACAGTAATGATTTTATCAACAATTAAATTTATGGCAATTAAAACAATTCAAATTAAAAAATACCAACCAATTCGTTTAGTTTGCGTTCTTCTTCTAATTTTAGTGACCAATATTCTTCACATTCAAAGTATTCATTGCGCAGTGCATCTATACCACGTTCCAATTCAGTACCTTCATCTTTTAACCGCTTAGCCTCATCCAGGGCTTTGTCAGCTACTTCACATAGTTGATTGTACCTAGATTCCCAGTACTTCTCAATATTTTCGCACTTGTCACGCAGCTCCTGATTTTCTAATTTACACTGATTGTACATTTGTTTCAATTTTTCAACACTACCATTTGTCACTTCTATTAAAGTAGTTCCCATAAATTCCGTTTCCATTGAATTTTCAAATTGCTTATTCAATGACCTCCTGGTTTGATATTTATTTAAAGGTGAAGTCATGCAACTATCAGGAGATTCTTGCAGTGATTCTAGTGCATCTTTCTCTTCAACGTGCTGTGAATGGTCTGCGATTGGTATTTTTTTCATATGCTCCAAATACTCAATTAATTCATCTAAATGACAAGATTCAATTTGTGATTGAGAAGATAGACTTGTTTTTATATTGTTCACAAGCATCAATGATGTCTGAGGGGATTTCTGGCATGATTTTGGTGAACTTTCAACCTGTCAAACAAAATCGAAATAATTAATCAATGAAAAAATCTAGTTTACTGTATTATATTTCCCTTACTTTATTCCATGTATCAAAGTCAGACTCAATTGTATAAGTTTCAAATGTATTTGTACAATCACTCTCACCTTCCTCAACAGAAAATTCGGTAGTAAATTCTTTCACTTTGCCAAAGCAGTTAGGACTATTTTTTTCGGTCAAGAAATTCCTGACATTGCTATCAAATGACCTATCATTACCAACATTCTCTATCCTAAAAAAACCACAAAACCAATATAAATAAATACTACATTTTATAACAGTGAAACCTTAATAGTATTACAACACATACATTTTAGTAGCTTCAAGCTCAATAATAAGTTCATCATTTTGGTCTCTAAGACATTTATTTTCATTTTTCAAACAATCAATTTTTTGCACAAGGTCAATAATTTGTTCATTATTAGATTCCAGTTCTAGTTCCTATGGATCAATGAAATACAAATACATAGAAAGATTAACTTAAAATCTAGTTAATTTTTTTAGAATACTCTTGAAAATTATTAGTAGTAAAAATTAGATAAGACTTAGTTATACCTAAATCTTAATATTTATTTTAATTAAGTGTTAGATGTTAACAACTATGTTTTCATATTTTTCTGAAAATCCAACAAGGGAAAATGATGAAATATGGAAGTACTTAAAAACTCTTAAATACTTAAAACAATAAATGATACATTACCTTGAGTCTTAACTGTGGAATTTCTTGAACTTGAACTTCTAATGAAACATTTTTTTGTTTTATTTCATTTAATTGTTCATATAATGAGGTATTTTCACTTTCTAATAAGCTCAGTTGCTAAAAAAAAAATGAAATTCAATGAATACTAAATAAAATTACCAATTAGTTATCTATACCAAACATACTTTTTTGTTGTTTAAAAGTTCAGACTGTAATTCGTTTTCATAATTTTGTACTTGTTGCAATTTATTATTGAGCAAAATATTTTGGTTAAGTAATTGATCTTTTTCTGAACCCCATTGATCAATGAGTGTTTTTCTTTCTTCGTGGTGTTTATGTTCTAGAGCCCTAAAAGTATTAAATTTCTCAATTAGAATTTTTGTCTATATATTTGATAAAATGACTAAATTATTCTCTTACGCAATTTTGTTTGCCGAAGATTTTTCTAATCGCATATGATTTTCATCAACTTCTTGCGCAAGCATTACTGCTCTATTGTTGGCAGTATCAACATCATACTTTAATTTGTCTCTTTCGCAATTCATTTGCTCAATAATCATTCTGAAAATAAGTTATATAATTAGAGTTAATTAGCTTAAAAATAATTTATTTTTAATTTTGTCCTTACTTGAGCCATTTAACCTGATATTCATTCAAAGAACTTAGAGCTTTTAGCAATACAAATGGTGTATTAATCGAATCATATTCTGTTGATGAAGAATCAACAAAATTATTTCTAACTTTATGGAGTTGATTGTTAATAGTAGTTACTATATCAGGTATATAAACAGAATCCTGGGATGTATCGATACCTAGTTCTTGTAACAAGTTTATAGACTCTGGTATACCACAACTTTCCCAGAGTTCAATAATAGTGCTTACACTCACCATCCTAAAAAAAAGTATACATATTACAATCAATTGCATTGTTTATATTAAAATTATGAACACACTTACATTGAATTTGGTATATTATCTTCTCTGTGATAATATGATGTAGAAGAGACTCCTGATGTCGATGTTTCAGAATTTGGTGAGACAGACCGGTAATCGAGACTACTGATTAATTCAAGAACTTCTTTAATTGGTATTCTATCATTAGAATATTTATCGTTTATCTTCTCAAATAATTTTTCATTGCAGTCAAAATGTTGAATTACATCAAAAAATTGAGTTTTTGATATAAGTCCATTAGAAGTTATGTCCATGTGTTCACAGGCCAGACTTAAATTATGTTTGTCCATAATCAATCGTTCTTTTAACATATCTAATAACAGAGAATTTTTTTTTGAGATATCAATAATTACTATCTAAGTGAAAGTTGTTTTCTTGACAACTACTTACCATGTTTGTCATCACATTGTGATAACATGTCTTTATTCTGTGTTTCCTCATCCAATTTCAACTCTGAATTGATCTGTAAACAGATAAATTATTATGTACTTATAGATCTATTAATTAAACATTTAACTAACATGAACATATTCTAGTTTTTGAGGAGATAATGGTATGCTGCTGTTTAAATCTTGAGATATATTTGATTGGTTTAATATAAAACTATCTTCTCGAGGCTTTGTTCGGCGTCCATATTTTTTTTCGCCAAAAACATACTTTGGAGATATTTCTCTAACTGAAATATAAAAATACTAAATTGTTAAAGTAGGTACCATTTAAAATCAAAAATAAATGAGATAATGATTTGTCTAATAAGGTCGCACTAAGCTATGTTAACAACCTTCACAATCAGATTGGAATTGAAAAACCTTTCACTGTTGTCATACCATAAACATAATTTATGATAAATGGTTTTTAATATTGATTTTTTTATTATTTATTATATTTCCATGTAGTAATATGAGTTCAATATGGTATTGTTACTTATCAAAAAAATACTCAAATATTTAACTTTATAGTAGACAATTGTAAGATTTAGGTAATCAAAAATCAAAATTACATTTTGAATTTTTAAATATTTTCATATTTTTGTTAGAAATCCAAATACATTTCCCCCTAATTTGCAATGCTATGATATTGTAGGTATTACAAATGGTAGTTACTTCATGAAAATAAAGAATGTTGCATTATACTTGGAATTACACATTGATTTATTACAAATGATTTATTTATTAAAGAAAATGAAATAAGGAGATGAAAGAATAACTAATATATATTTGTTTTAATATCCACTTGACATTAACAAGATGAAGTTTATCTATATTTAGATCCAATAAACATCATCAAATATGTCACTAATGTATGTAGTAAAATATTATTTATATGTAATAATATAATATAATTTGTTTTACTATTATCATACATACAATTTTAAATATAAATTCAAATGATTTGATATCAAAAATAAATAGATAATGTTAAAATATTTAAGTATTTATAAATTGATAACTTAAATATGCATACAAATTAAACCTAATTTGTAGAAACAAATGAATAACCTAATAATATACCTAATGAAAATGAATATGTATACAATTGTGTATTAATAACTTAGATAGGTACCTAACCTATACAATAATGGATTATAAATATTAAATTTAAACAATATATCATATTCATGTTATCTTTCTAGAATGTCCTATTTACCTTAATTTAATTGTCAACGAGCACATTTATAAAAACTGCCACAATAACTAACTCAGACGCAAATTTATTTAGAAAGGTTTGAAAATTTTTTTTATATTTTAAAATAATCTAACTTTTAATGGATTCTAAGAATCAATTGGTATTCAAATAATACACTTTATTGTTAATTTAAATAATAGTAATAATAAATTTCAAATTTGAATAGGTAATTATAAAATATCTCTGTGATTGCTAATTATTTATAATATATGGATTACCTATGTATACCGCTGTACAGTAGGTACAATAATTGTTTATTACTAAGCCATTTGATATTAGTTTATTTGCGCAAAGCAAAAACATGTCAATAATAGTGCATGATAATAAAAAAATATAATAGGCTTATCTGTATAAAGTATATATAATAATAGATAGGTGAAGTGAAAGGAATGTAGAAAACAAGGTCAAACATAACTACCAGAAGACTTACAAAAATACAATATTTGACAACAATTTCACACAACATGTACACAACATATTGTAGCAAAAAAATAATTTAGTGTTCACATGTAAGTATAAAATATAATAAAACTGTGTTCTTACCGGGAGAGATGTCCCTAGGATAAGTTTCATCTTTTGAGCCATTATTGGCCAAATAAACAAGAGCATCACGGAATCGCTCAAATGAAACATTAGAATTCTGATCCAAGAATGACCATAATTGTTTACGTTGGCTAAAATCCAACTGTAATGCTTCACAAAGAGCGTTCACTCCCTTATGATCCAATTCATCATTTTCATCGCTATCAAAACTTTTGAATATGTTGTACAATTCTTTTTCGTACGGTTCTTCCATAATTGTGTGTACAAATCATCACCAGTACTGTAAAAACAACAAGAAAATAAGTAAATATTTATGGTTAATATTGACAATCAATAATATATTATTTGCATAACACAATAGCACAATTTGTTGTACTTATTGATTGATAATAGGTTTTTCACAATCTAGACTACATACCCATAATATAAAAAGGAGAATGAATCATAACTAAAAAAATAGGAGGTTGTCATCAAGGTGTTGGATAATGAACATATTGAACCTTAATAATTTAGTTTTTTTCACGGACAACCACCACAATATGTCAATAGAGTTAATTGATATAGGAACCCTTTGAAATTAATATTAATACTAAGTCCACTCACCAATTAATAGAAGACGTGATACTGTGGACGTAGCCACTTGATACCCGGTGTTAAGACGAACGAATATTAATTGCTTTTAAACTAATCGAATACGGCTCGGAAAACATATTTTCTATTCACGACGACGACGACGACGACTATTATTATAATTTATAATGATCCTACGAAAATACGAAATACCAATCGGAAATTGCTTTTATCAGTCCTACTGGTTCGGGGGTATGGGTGGTATGAGTAATGTTATCACTATCCAAGGATGTTGTAAGACGTCGAGCGCAATCTCACTGGCCACACGGCATTGTTTGAGGTTACTTCCTTTACAACATCGCGAACTAATGAAAACAACAAAATACTACTTAATAAGTTTTCAGAAAGAAAACTGAATCTATTTCTAAATCAAATTGAACATTAATATTGTAATACTTTTTTTTACTTTTGGTATTCAGTAACGCAGCAGTAAGTCTTTTAAACTCTTATTATTACAGTTTGTAGTGATCGACTAACGTCTACGGCGTTCATTATTCTATGATAACATTTATATATTGTTGTTAAGCTTTTAAATCTTAATAATTAATTATTGATAACAAATGTACTTTATACTTTAACTTTTAAGGATATAGCTTTTAGCCCTATGGACTAAGTACTTGCATTAATTGTCAAGACGTATGTAAGCGATTTACTTATTAGGTAGCTAATTGTTACTATTCATACATAATATGATAACTACCGGTAGGTTTTATGCACAGCTTAAAAACCAAACGTGTAATACGTCGATAGATCATAAATTGTGTTGGTTTGGTCTTGAAAACTATTCTAAGCTACCACTTTTTGAAACACATAAAGTACTTGTAATTGCACCAGGTATGCTGAAATATTTTAATTATAATAAAAAAAAAAAGGGAAAAGAAACACATTGATCAACTTTTATCATAGAAAACTATAAAATAGCCAATAGGCAATAGTAATGTGGTGCATTATGTTGTATTTAGATCATAATCTGACTTGTAATTGCACGGCAATAACAATATCCAACGATATGAAAAATCAAATGTTTATTTTTATCAAGTATACCTATTTTCTTGCCTTTGTTTTTAAGTACCTTAATCTTATATTTTTAAACCTTCGCTTATCCTGTTTATATTCTTTTTAGTTAAATTATAGTTAGGTATGTAGATTATATTTTTTTAATTTTAATTATATTATGTTTTCAATATATTTTCATTTAATTTTCAGAATAATAAATCATGCCACAAAATGAGTATATGGAACGGCACCGTAAATTATACGGTCGCCGTATGGATTATGAACAACGTATGCGTAAGAAGGAAGCTCGTGAGCCTCATTTACGTTCTGATAAGGCGAAACGTCTTCGTGGTCTTAAAGCTAAGCTCTACAACAAGGAGCGCCGCAATGAAAAGATTCAAATGAAGAAAAAGATCAAGGAACATGAAGAAAAATTACAGAAAAAGAAGGAAGAGAAACCCAAGGAAGGCGCATTGCCAGTTTATTTACTTGACAGAGATGTTCAATCAAGTGCCAAAGTACTCTCCAACATGATCAAACAAAAACGTAAAGAAAAGGCAGGCAAATGGGATGTACCTATACCTAAGGTGAGAGCTCAATCAGACAATGAGGTATTCAAGGTCTTCAGGACAGGCAAATCTAAGAGAAAAGGATGGAAGAGGATGGTGACAAAAGTATGTTATGTTGGAGAAGGATTTACTCGTAAACCTCCTAAGTTCGAAAGGTTTATTAGGCCAATGGCTCTACGTTTCAATAAGGCACATGTAACTCACCCCGAACTAAAGGCCACATTCTGTCTACCAATTATTGGTGTAAAAAAGAATCCTAATTCTCCAATGTATACAAATTTAGGCGTTATAACTAAAGGTACTGTAATAGAAGTAAACATTAGTGAACTAGGTCTGGTAACACAGACTGGTAAAGTAGTATGGGGAAAATATGCACAGGTTACTAATAATCCAGAGAATGATGGTTGTATTAACGCTGTACTTTTGGTTTAAGTTCTTAAATTTGTTTTTGTTTCGACTGTAATTAATAAAATAAATATTTATTTTATCATAAACATTATTTTTTTTTACATTTAAATAATCCTTTTGTTTTCTGTGTGCTGTAAGTTAAAGCTTTGAAATAGAGTATACATCAAGTGAATCGCGGAAAAAAAGCACAACAAAATTAACACACAAAGGAAAAAAAGCACAGAAATAAATTAAATATAAATGTGAACACATGCATACTCTACTCCTAATCAGTAATTACCTTCTGATGTGTACCTACTACAAAATATAGCATATTATAGTGAAATGTAATTTTTATATAAATGTATATTATAAACTTAATATGTTATACTACTTATACTTATACACCTGAAGTTTTTTTACTTAAAACTTAACACTGTATATGATGCATAAATAAGTTCATATTTATATTTACATTTTTTTTTAATATAATTAATAGTAAGCATAAGCCATGTCCAGACATAAAATTATTTATAATTGAAATTTTTCATTGAATAAATAGGTAAAAAAAGTTTCTTATTAATTGAGTTTTTGCATTTAAAATTTCCTAAAATGGCTGTAATAATTTATGAATTATTAATTACTTATTAAGAGTACAGTATAGGTACATGTGTTCACATTTATATTTAATTTTTTCCTTTTTATCCTTTGTGTGTTTATTTTTTTCTGCCTACCACATCAAGTATTATGCTTTTATTAAAAACTTAATATCGTAAGATGTAATTTCAATTTATCGCAAAAGTATAAATATTGTGGCTTGCAAACTTAAGACTGCACATTACAACTAATTAAATAAAGTACAAATTACAAATTATGATCTCTTAATTTTTAATATTCTAACTATTCTAACAGAACATTTATTACACAAGGTTTAGTAGTAGGTTTTGACAGATGTTGATCTTTCAAGTTTGTGAACTAAGGCATTAGAGACTAAGTAATAAAATAAAATATATTTTATTTGAAAAAAGTAATATTTAACTATCAGAAGCAACATTTTAAGTTTTAAAAATGTCATTAGTGTAAAAACCACCTTCAATTCTATTGATCCCAACGGAAATGTCAACAATATTGAATGGTTGTTATGGATTATTTACAGAATACTGATAATGTAAACTACATAATATCATAAATTTAAATTGAACAACATACCTGTTAATCTTATCTATTTTAGTGTGTGGCCAGTGACCACAGTGTACTTTAATTCTTCAGAATTCAATGTTGTGAATGCCCAGTATACCCAGTGAAAAATTAATTTTTTTATGACATATAATTTATATAAAAAAAATAAAGCATTTGGTGTATAAATAAAAATAGGTTTAGTTATGAAATAAATTTTTTAACTACAGACTTATAAAGAATCGTGTTCCTTATATAAAATACTAGCTGCAGTATTTTATACTACTAAACCATTTTCCGAGTCTGAACGTTATAAAGACATTACTGACATGGTTTGCGTACATTCCTGTTTCATTTTCATACACATAATATTATAATAAGTTGGATAAACTTAGCTTTGTTTAATTACAAGAAAAAATACTAAGAAAAGGTATACCTTGTGTGTGTATCACCTCCATTAAAACATTTTTTTCAAAATTTAATCGAATTTTTAATCATGTACATGGTAGGGTTTTTCATCAAGCTCACTTATCGACCACGTATTTTCTTTTAATAATAAATTTATTCAATTTCTGAATTTTCGAAATTCTAAATTTAATTAAACTCTATATTTTTTAACTTGTCAACTTATGAGATTTTATAATATGTAAAACTTAAGGACTATGTTGTGATGTCATGGCGGTGGTGATACAAACTACTGTTTTTCAAATGGGAGCATTAGATTACTTTAACATTTTTAGTTGGTAATTTTTAAAAACGATGTATCTAAATCAAAATTTAGACAAGTAGTTTCTTAGTTATTAAAATATTTATGCTAAGGATAAAAATTATTAAAAATTATTTTAAAAAAAAAATAGATGTAATATTGGATCTAATATTTTATTATACCTACGCCTTGGACCATTTCTACAGATAATAAATGTTGATAGACTAATATTAATTAAAATTAGGTCGATTTAAAATAATTTGGTGGTGTTATTTTAAAAGAAATTAATATTAAGCTGGTATATTAAATAGCATGATAGTTTTAATTTATTATTAAGTACGTGTTAAAGCAACCACACGAGCCTTAGCATAACAATTACGTGTAAATGTGTACGTACTTAACTTACTAATACTCGTTGATGTTAAAATAACTATATATTTCTATGGGTTCGTATATTTATTAAATCGCATAAAAAAGATAGCCACAAATGTTTTTTACACTGTTCCGTTTCATATATATATATATAGAACATTTAATCTCACAAGTTTTTTTCACAGTTATTGAAAACATATAAAACCGATAAAAATCTAGATTCTCTCTTACGATTGAGTTTCGAATTAATGGTAATACTCATTTAAACATTCATGAGGCGGCCCAAAATTCAATTTTCCACGGGGGTGTTAATGTGTCTATACACCAGCATACTTCTTTTGTACAATTGAGTTCTTGACTTTAAATTGGTAGGTTACGATTGTTAATCTACTTGAATAAATTATGTGTCAAAAGTTCAGTTATTGTACATTTGTATACCGCTTATAAACTCAAAAAAAAGTTTTAAATGAATGATTGTAATTTGTAATATAGTTCAGGTCCTATTAAGCTTTATAAATTTATAAATAAAAAAATATATTTTTATTATTTTATGTCTGAATGTAGTTCAAAGAAATAAAAACTTAAGTTTATTCTATAGCTTATAATTACTTATTTGTATTACCCATCTGTTGTAATGTTAAATACACATTATTTACTTAGGCGTTAAAAAAAATGATTACATGCTATGTCGCTTGCCGACAAATGGAAAATAGTACCTATCATTATTTTGCATGGTAAAAATAAATTCACTTTACTGTGAAAATCATTAATAATTGTGCCCTGAAGGAGAATGGACTATTAACAGATCGCTGAAAAATAAATCAAGAAATTATTTTATTTTATTTATTGTTCACTGTTCAACGTTCACATAATTGTTTTACTGCTTTCGGATATTAAATCAAAATGATTTTTTTCCAACAAAGTTTAGTAACGTTTACAATTTTAGCTATTACAATTTTCGTTATGCCAGTTACCTTATTGGACACATTAAAGTCGTTGAAAGGTAAGGAATAATTTATTGATATAGTACGGTTTATATTGGTATTCTATTTTGTATTATAATGTTCTATTCAGTCGATATTTATCAGCAGTGATTTGTAAATTCTTTAAGAATCAATTTATAAACTGTAACCAAAAATTAATATTATGTTTTTACAACCTTAGAGTATGGTTAGAGAACAACAAAATGTACGCCATTTATTTGATTTTAATTGTATAAAATATTATGATGCATGTAATACACTTGTTATGCCTAAAGACTTTTTAAAAATTGGATAACTATTTGATGCAAAAGAAAATATTTAATTTGTCTGTAAATTAATTTTAGTATCTTTACCTAAAGTATATTAATATAATGTATTATGTGTTACGAATTGTATAATTCTATCGATTTGTTTGACAAACTGTATAAATTTGATTATGTATTGTAATACTGAATTAATATTATCTACAGTAGGTAATTTTAATTTTTTCTTAAATACGCTTAGAACATAATTTATATAGGAAGTTGCTTAAAAATCGAATGACGTACCTCTTTAGGAGTACAAAACAATCTGTTAAATTATACTTTTTTAAAGTCTATTATTAAGTGAAAATTATTATATCTTTATTTGTAGTAAATAGACAATAATATTTACTTCCTATGTATTGTTTTATTTTTAGATGCGTGTAAAAGTAATATTTTAAATTAAAAATTAATAATCAAATAGAGAATACACTTTTTACAAACCTTAAAATATTTATGATATTTGATACAAATAAAACAATTTAACAATGTATTTCTTCAGAAACGCTAATAACAATGGTAGCTGAGAAGATTTTTGAAATAAAAAAATAAATAAATAACTCAAACATTGATGTATGATAATGTGTATTTTTAATTAATAAAGACCCTTATCCCAATATTATATATATTTAGTGAAATCATTATATTAAGAATTTGCTTTTGATTGACATTGATTTTCATTTAAAGTCAATTTTTCATATTCATAAATTATTATTTCTATGAAAAAAAAATATCTTTACAAGAGCGTTTTTACACTAAAAAAGTAACTTTGGGTAAATAAATGTCATATTTCGCAAGGGATAAAAAAAATGTTTGATAAATTAATGTTAAAGTAGTATAAAAGCATAAGATATACTAATGTAACACATTTTTACATTTTCAAATATTTTATTAGCCATTATAGGTACCAACACAAAAAAGTTCTTCAGAAAATGTATTCAGGATCATTTTTTGGAAAATGTTCTTTCAAGTACTAGTATTTCAAGGCATTGATGTCAAATAAATTCGGAATACAGAAAAATAATTGAGATATCTTATAATAATTTTTTATTAGAACTGTTAGTTAATATTTATTCATAATAAATTATTAATTGTATATTTGTAATATACAAATTATTTAGGATGAATACACCACCATAAATGTTATATATTATACTATTCTATGAAATAGGTACATGTATTTATTTTATAATTAATGTACCTTGACAGTGAACCTAGTACCTACGAGTTTTTACACCAATCCTGGACTGCATAAAGAAAAACAATCATTAAATATGTAATAGAATAATATCGTAAGGTTTAGTCTTGAATACAAATTATGGTGGCCCATACTTGGATAATTAAAGATAAGTGAACCATTAAAATAATCAATTTCTTATTCTACTAAAGCATAGTTTTATTTAATTTTAAAATATACTAGGTCTTCTGAAAAATTTTACCGAATTTAAAAGTAAGTAACAAATAAGTTAATTTCATTGGAATAACATCTTTTTTAGGAATATGTTCATCATAAGCTTTTATAATAGCAGTTCAGATATATTGAAAATAAATAATTTATTTATATATTC